TTAAAGGGACGCTGAGCCTCTTTAAACCCCTGCTTCCTGCTTCGTGTGAAAGCCACAAAAAACAGCTGAGTGGCAAGGACCAGGCTGTTCCCCGCCACTCATTGTGTTTTGGGCTTTCTGTAAACTCTGTTAAAAGGGACTATGGTCCTTTTCAATGGCGTTTGCGGGGCCATAAACCTCCCACGAACCAACACAAACTGTATTTTTCCAGTTTGTGCACATCCCTAGAAGTCACTCGGGTCAGCCCCTCTCCCTTTGGAGGCTCCTATCTGCATTCATTGAAAGGGGTTTGGGCAAATCCTTCTAATGCCCTACAAGGGTGATGGATAAATAAAATAGCTTTATTTTTGGAAAGTGCAGCTAATGAAAGGAAAGGCTTTTTTATGTTGATGTCTCAGCTTCACTTATCTCCATAGGAACATAAGAAGAGCCCTTCCGGATCAAACCAGTGGTTCATCCTGTCTTACACAGTGGACAACCAGTTCCACTGGAGGTCCAAACAACAAGGCATAAAGGCTAAGGCCTTTCCCTGATGTTGTCTCTGGCACTGGGATTCAAATGTTGACTGCCTCTGAATGTGGAGGTCCCCTTTAGTTACTACGGCTAGGAGCTGCTGATAGACCTATCCTCCATAAATCTATGTAATCCCCTTTTAAAGCCGTCTATACCTGTTGTTACTATGGGTGCTTGTGTTTGCATTTCTGTATTGTGTTGATGCTGCGTGTGTGTGTCTCATGTCTGGGTATCTGTGCCTTGGGGGATTCAGGGATTGCTGCTGTTTGTATAGCCTTGCCTTGCATCTCATGCTTGCCTATGAAGGGCAAGACCTGTGCTGCCTGCTGCTTCTACAGAGCATGTGCTTCCCTGGAGTCCTTCCCATAATGCATCTGCAAAAAGGAGACTGGCGCCATTACACCCGACTTGGACCCTTGGAAAACAACAGCGCACCCCACCATTGCTGGCCCTTGGGAAACCACGCAACTCTCTCTCTCTATCTGGTTGTGGCATCACAAAGACAATATCCTTTTATGACTCTGGGTCACAGACCTTTCTACAAGTCAAAGGTTGCCAGTGGAAACAAAGTTCACACCTGACCACATGGCCCCTGCTTTGAAGTTAGGGTAGTAAATCTGCATATTGCTCATCAACTTCATTGATTAATTGATTGATTGACTGATTAAATTTCTACCTCACCCTCCCGGCCCTTGAGTTCCAGTATTTTGGAAGAGGACAGAAAAGGTCTCTTTCTCAACTCACTCCAACATGTGCATAATTTTATAAACCTCTATCGTGTCACCCCTCAGTTGTCTCCTTTCTAAAGTAAAAGGCCAAGACTTCATATATCTATGCAATTGATGATAATTGTTAGGAGGTCATAACCTGCTAACACACCCTCCCTCCTAAGACAGGAACTTGTTTTAAAAGAATGACAGACATAAACCAGGCAAATTTTAGTTGATTAAAATTCAGGAAAACAGCTAAACTCACTTAAAAATAATCCAGAAGAATTTTAATTTTCTGAACATAGTGTTAGAGAATAAGCTTGATATTTGCTTTATGTACTATTTATTGCTACACACAATGGACTGTGCACACACACATAGGCTCAGAAAGCTGCACAATTTAAGTCACCTATTGTGATGCCACACATAGAAGGTGCCTGCACGTACCTTACATGTAAATAAGGTTTCAGCTACACAGTTACCCAGCCTGGTGAAGAAGCACAAACCTCCATTATTGTGAGCAATGGAACAACAACCTCAAGAAGAGACAGCCCCCATTGCAGAACTGTTTGTAGTCATGTACTACCCATCGCTTGCTTTGTTCCTGCATTGGCATTTCCTGCCAAATGGACATTTGGTTATCAAAGAAACTGGCCTGCTTCATCAGCACTACAATGGAGCATCCTGACACCTAGGTTTCACACCTGTCCAGATGCCATACTTCGAGTAAGGTTTTAGGTTACAATATTGGCCACCCCTTCAGGTAACCTCCCCTTCCCACATGCAACCAATAGTATTGTTTTTGGGATGGACTAACAGGTAGGTGGGTCAAGAGGTTGGCACAGTTACCACCCATGTCTTGGACCCCCTATAAGAGGAAAAGACCATTCACTTGGCCCTTCCTAGCTAGCAATCCCCACATCAACCCCTATCGAATGATAAAAGGGTTGAAACACTTTCCCTTATGAGGAAAGGTTAAAGCGCTTAGGGCTCTTTAGCTTGGAGAAACGGCTCCTGAGGGGTGACATGATCGAGGTTTATATGATTATGCATGGGAAAGAGCAGGTAGAGAAAGAGGTACTTTTCTCCCTTTCTCACAATACAAGAACTCGTGGGCACTCCATGAAACTGCTGAGCGGTCGGGTTAGAATGGATAAAAGGAAGTACTTCTTCACCCAAAGAGTGATTAACACATGGAATTCCCTGTCACAGGAAGTGGTGGCAGCTACAAGCATGGACAGCTTCAAAAGGGAATTAGATAAGCATATGGAGCAGAGGTCCATCAGTGGCTCTTAGCCCCAAGGTATAGATAGGGGCTCTGGGGCAAGTGATGCTCTGTCTTCTTGGTGCTGGAGGGGGGTCAACAGTGGGAGGGCTTCTAATGTCCTGGCCCCACTGGTGGGCCTCCTGATGGCACTGGTATTTCTGGCCACTGTGTGACACAGAGTGTTGGACGGGATGGGCCTTTGGCCTGATCCAACATTGGCATCTCTTATGTTCTTATCTGTTTTTACTCCCCTTGAGCCCCACTTGCTATCCCCAACCCTTTTCTCTACTTTGATCTCTTGATCTGCAGTCAAGAGACCCCCACTCAGTCCGGCTAGTTATGGTAGTGTGGATCCTTTTGTTTTCCATTTCTTCCCCTCCATTCTTCATTGGAACAACCAAGCTGCAGGACAGATAAGTATCACCCACCATCACCCCTACCTGCTAATGCAAAAGTGCTTATTTCTTACTGTAAATCTTAGAAACTTGATTGAATGTGTGAGTGCATCAGTATTATTTGTATGAGATATATATATTAAGTAAAAGACTTCTATTTTAACCACAACAGCCTCGAATCCTTTACTGGTAACCCTTGGTGGGAACAGGACCTTGGTATAAATTGGCAAGAACCCATTTATAAATTGCCAATTGCTGTAAATAAAGCAATTCGGCTAACAATAGGTGAACCCTAGAAGAATCAAAATGTTACAGGTTCACCTATCCCAAAGGCACTGCTATTCCCTGCCATTCCTAGGGAGAAACAGCAGGGGGAGACTGTCTCCCAGATACACATTCAGTTGTTTTTTTTAATGTATACTAACGAAAACAGTCCTAAATATGCTTTTGCCATCCACAAAGTGACCAGCCACTTTAGTATGAGGTGGAGTGTTTTAGATGTAGAAGTCTTAGCTGTAGAAAAGAACATGAAAAGTCTAATATACCTTGTTAACCCAAATAAACGAAAGAACACAAATTTGACCAAAGAACATATTTTGTTATTTATTTATTTATCAAACTTATACCCCGCCCTCCCCGCAAGCGGGCTCAGGGCGGTTATTTTCCGAAAGTGATGCAACCAACATGGTTCCAAAGCATTACAGATGGTTAAACACCACATTTGAAGGATTTGTAATTAGAAGTAAGTATGTAGAAAATAAGTTTTGAAGAAAATACTAGCTTTCAATATGGCTTCCAAGCCCCAGTCGGGGTGGGGAATACCTCAACCCTTGTTCCTGCTGCTCACTGCCACAGTGGTGGTGGTAGAATAAAAGAAAATCAGCTATGATGCTTTATACTTCTGGTAAAAAGCTACCCCCATAATGTCATTCTAGGAATCCACAGAAACTCTATGGTTTTACAATACAGTTTCTGATGATTCCTAGATTCCTATGTCACTTTTGTGTCTTTTTCAGCAGAAGTGATATTACGCTGCAGCCAGTGTCATGCCCCCCATATTCCCACTCACAGTCCTCCCACCAGTTCCCAGGAACTGCCCGACAACCCAAGCTTTCAGTACTATGTTCTGATTCTGGCTTTTCTTCTGTGATTACATGATGAATGGCAATGCCGTTTGCATCTTTTTGACTCATTCCCACAAGCAGCTATGCCGCCCTCACTCTTCCATTTCCCCTGGTTGTATTGGTCAATTTCACACTATTCACTGTGCGGCAGCATTTTGAGCCGCATCTCCCCCCCCCCCCCCCCCCTCCCCCGCCCCGTCCAGGTTGAGCCCCCAGGATGATGGATCGTCGCTGGGAAAAGCCCCGCCACTCAGCAAGGTCACCCAGCGAATAATGTGAAATTGACCAACACAACCGGGGGAAACGGAAGAGTGAGGGTGGCACAACAGCTTGTGGGGAATCGGTCTCTGTTTCTGTTGTGAGCCTTTTCATTTCAGCCATTTTCATTGCTGGGCTTCCCGGCTGGCTTGTTTCTTTGACACCGTTTTTATACCTTTCAAAGACAATTTTTACAGTATTACACTTTTTTAATGCCACTGGTATATTGTGTAAGATTTATAGATAAATAATTAGGAAAGGTTGGTAATACTGTGCAGTTTAATGACAAAAAAAATAGCACAAGAGAGAATTTTTGATTGCAAATATAGACATCCACGCAATGGAACTGCAGAGTCAACATGAGGACTTGGAGTCCAATGGTGGAGTTGTGAATTTTGGTAGCATTCCTACCAAAGGGTGGAAGGAACGTTCCTTCTTCCTTCTTCCTACCAAGAGGGTGGAAGGAGCGTTCCTTCTTCTCTATTTCCAACTGAGAACTTCAATCAGATTTTGAAAGTTAGATGAGTGGTCATCCAAGATAGGGACTTTTTCTACATTTCCTATGGAGTGCATTAAGCAGCAGTAGAAATCAACCACATTTGGCTAAATTTAGGAGAGATTAGTATAGTTACTTATCATAGAATCACAGAGCTGGAAGGTCATCTAGTCCAACCCCCTGTTCTATGCAGAATCAACCTAGAGCATCCCTGACAAGCAATTGTCCAGTCGCTGCTTAAAGACTGCCAGTGAATCTTGTTTAATTGTTTTTCTTTCTATTTAAAAATTAGGTTCAACACTCTTCTCTTTTCTACCAAACATCAGTTCTTTGCTTTTGTGGTTAAATTTGTTCTTTTATTTTTGCATTGTTTCTTTTTATGAATTTTGTAAGTTACAGTAAAGGCCACGTTTGGGAGAAAATTGGAGTAGAAAAAAAATGCAAACAAATAAAAGCTCATTTTCAGGCACTGTTGCTCATAGTAACAGACTCATCAGGGATCTTCGACATGGTTGAGACACAACCAACCAGAGTCCTTGGATCAATACAAAGAACATTCCCTTAACATCCTCCACAGGACGATCTCCCAGATCTCCGGAACCTTCTAAAAAGTCGTCGACATGGCTCAGAACATACTCCTCTTCTTCTACCGCTGCATCCTCCTGCCTCAGCACATGCTCCACTTCCTCCACTGCCGCATCCTCCGGGTTCAGAACATACTCCTCTTCCTCCACTGCCGCATCCTCCAGGTTCAGAACATACTCCTCTTCCTCCGCTGCCGCATCCTCCTGGCTCAGAACATACTCCTCTTCCTCCGCTGCCACATCCTCCAGGTTCAGAACATACTCCTCTTCCTCCACTGCCGCATCCTCCTGGCTCAGAACATACTCCTCTTCCTCCGCTGCCACATCCTCCTGGCTCAGAACATACTCCTCTTCCTCCACTGCCGCATCCTCCTGGCTCAGAACATACTCCTCCTCCCCCACCGCTGCAGCCTACCGATGTAAAACCTGGCTGAGAGCAACCCCCTGCCCCTCCACTGCCACATCCTCCTGAAGATCCACAACATGCCCCTGCAGAGAATGACTCTTCATTAGAATAACATCCACCTGTATTTCCATTGCACGAATCCCCAATCGGTCGCCCCCAATAGTCTCGTGGTCCTCCCGAGGGGTTGTGGACACAGCATCTCACTCTTGGGTTACCCCCTGATCGACAGGTGGACCGACGATAGCCGTAGCATCGGTAATCATGGCCTCCTCTTCTCGGGATGTCGTCTCTGCGGTTGCAACCGGTTATGCAGCAGGTATTGTGAGCGTAGTGGAACGGTTTGCGGCGAGTGTCCAGCCATGATCCTGCAGGGCCATACCAGGTGGAGTTCAAATTGAAATAGGGTTCCCTCCCTGAAGAGTAGATCCTTTCTTCTGGCATTCTGGATAGATCTGAAAGACAGGGACACATGATTAAAGATACATACCTAACTGTTTCTACCAAACTGTCATTTCTTTCTCTTTTATGGCCATGCTAATCATTCCTGAGGAGCTGCGGTGGCTCAAGTGGTTAAGACACTGAACTGCAGGCTGTGGAAGGTCAGTAGTTCAGCAGTTCGAGACCTGGGTGCCGCATGACAGAGTGAGCTCCCGTCTCTAGATAAATAGGTACCACTTTGGTGGGAAGGTAACAGCGTTCCGTGAGCCTTGGTGTTTAGTCATGCCGGCCATATGACGATGGAAATGTCTTCGGACAGCGCTGGCTCTTCGGCTTTGAAACGGAGATGAGCACCGCAACCCTAGAGTCGGACTCGACTGGCTTTCGAGCAAGGGAACCTTTACCTTTACCTTTAATAATTCTTGAAGTGAAAGAAAGACAGGGATAAAGTGGTAGTCATAATTAGGGCTGCAAGTCAGAATGGGGGGAGGGGGTGATAAGATTTGGTGGCATTGTAAACAATGAAATATTACTGTTGTTAAATTAAATTAACTCTTTCTATATATGTGTGTATATGTATGTATGTATGTATGTATATGTATGTATGTATGTAACTGTTTTAATAATGAAACTTATACAACAACAACAAATTTATTCACAGCAAAAAGCCAGCACTCTAATACAGCAAACTAACTCAAACTAAATTCATACAACCACAAGCATAAATGAAATATGTAAAATGAATATCAAATAGAGCATGCATGTAAAACCCGTTAAGTCCTGTAACAAATTGCATCTCTTCGTCTTTCACTAGGAGCTTTCTAGTCCTTTCAGCTAACCAGCCAAATTTGGCAAGTTTAGCTGTAACCTTGGGGCACCTACTTTCTAGGAGGTTCTTCAGCAATTGCATCTTTTGACTAGTTATGGATAGAGTAGTTGTAGAGAATGAGAGAATATCACGAAAGTGGCTATATGCCCTGCAGCTATATGTAACATGCATTAAGGTTTCAATTCCATCATTGCAGCAGCGACATATACGATCAGCAAGGGGTTTTTTTTTTTAATTAAACCTCCCCTCTGTAACCGCTGAAGGGAGGGCATCCCACTTCATGAGGGTAAACGTTCTCCTTAACTCATGATTTTCTAGATAAAAAAGATAGGGCCTAGGCACTCCTTTATACAATGGTTCTAAAAGGGCTCGCCATTTGCATGAGTTATTAAGATCCTCCTGTCTAGCTATGTCCTGGATTCTCTGTCTCACTAACTCTCTCGCTTTGTTGTATGTATGTATGTATGTATGTATGTATGCAGACATACACACACATATATATATATACAGAAATACACATATATATGCATTGGGCAGGGGGTTTGACTAGATGGTCTATATGGCCCCTTCTAACTCTGTGATTCTATTAGTCTATATCCATCCTAAACAGATGTACACTTTTCCTTTCCAAGCCTATTATCTTCTGTCATATGTCTGTCTGTTCTCTTTCTTTCTCTCCTTACCTGGATAGCCAAGGCTAGCCCAATCTCATCAGATTTTGGAAGCTAAGTAGGGTCGGCCCTGGCCAATATTTGGATGGGGAACCACCAAGGAATACCAGGGCTGCTGTGCAAGGCCAGGCACTGGCAAACTGCCCCTAAATGTCTCTTGCCTTGGAAACCCTATGGGGTTGCCAGAAGTCAGGTACAATTTGACAGCAAAAGAGAGAGAGAGAGAAAGAGAGAGAGAGAGACTGGAGCCTCCTATTGAATCAAATTGAAACTTGTGGTTCTTAAACAGTCTTTTGAAAATCATATGTTAGGCATCTACAACCAGTGTTCCCTCTAAGCTGAGTTAGTGTGAGCTAGCTCACAGTTTTTTAGCCTCCAGCTCACACATTTTTGACTTCACTCAGGAAGGAGGGCTCCAGAGCAAATTAATTTATGAAGTAGCCAAATCGTTCACTCACAAGTTTAGTACCAGGAGCTCACAAAGTACAATTTTTGCTCACAAGATTTCACAGCTTAAAAGGAGCATTGTCTACAACCAAACTTGGACTGGATGTTTAGCTCTGCTGTCCTCTTCACTCTGCAATAGGAAAGGCCTTTCCTCTTCCACCGAAAAACACAAATGTTCTTAAAATCATCTGGCCCTCCCTCGTCTCAAGGACGCCAGGTTGGCATCGACCAGGACCAGGGCTTTTTCTGTGGCAGCTCCAACTTGGTGGAATGAGCTTCTGGAAGAGATCAGAGCCCTGCAGGACCTTTCACAGCTCTGCAGGGCCGTGAAAATGGAGCTCTTCCACCAGGCATTTAGGTAAGGAGCTGCCCTGTGCCAATATTATTTCCAGCCTGAGCCTGCCAATAGTGGAACTTACTGCTGAATGTATGTTTTCATATGCCCTTTACCACAGCTGTACCACCATTGCTATGTATATTGTTTTAATAGCTATGTTGTGTGTTTTATATTGATACTAGGAATAAGTCCCATTGTGGAAATAAATACAACGAACTCTAGAAAGAGGCCCTGGGAGAGTGCCCTGGCTTTTGGCACACAGTGTGAATTTGTTGTGGCGACCTCAGCAGGGTATAATGACAGAGTCCACCATTTTCTCCAAAGGAATGGATCTCTGCTACCTGAAGAGCAGTTGTAATTCTGAGTGATCTCCAGCCCTCACCTGGAGATTGGCAACAATTGTTACCCAGGATGAAATGGCTGGTTTGGAGGGTGGAGTCTATGGCATTGTACCTGTCTGAAGTCCAACCCCTCCTCAAACCCCACCCTCTCCAGGCTACACCCCTCAAATCCCCAGGGATTTCCCATCTGGAGTTGGCAACCCTATCAGGACTGGCCCCAATGAGTTTTCTCCCAAAGGTCAAAATAGGTGACAGGACCAAGCTTGGTTGCCTACTAACAGGCACTGAAAGGAAACTAGGGTTGCCAGCTCTAAGTAGGGAAATACCTGGAGATTTGGGGGGTGGATTCTGTAGAGGGCAGCATTGGGGGGGGGGTGGAAGGACTCAGCAGGGGATAATGCCATAGTGTCTACCCTTTAAAGCAGCCATTTTCTCCAGGGGAACTGATCTCTGTCATCTGGAGATCAATTGTAACAATGGAAGATCTCCAGGTCCCACCTGGAGATTGGCAACCCTAGGGGAAAGTCAGCTGCACAGCAGGGGGTTGATGAGAATGGTTTGATGGCCGCTGGGCCAAGATTGGCAACAATGGTTCCCCAGGAGGAAATGACTGGTTTGGAGGATGGAGTCTATGGCACTGTACCTGTCTGAGGTCCCACCCCTCCTCAAACCTCACCCTCTCTGGGCTCCACCCCTCATATCTCCAGGAATTTCCATACCTAAAGTTGGCAACTTTATGTCCTCCCCACTCAGCAGACTCTTCCTAGGCAAAATTCTGTCTTTCTCATTAGTGGGGAGTAAAGCAGCTTACTTCATTCTCTTTGGCTTTGTGATCTGTACAGCAACCCTGTAAGGTAGGTTAGGCAGAAAGTCTGTGGCTGGTCCGAAATCACCCAGGCAGCTTCCACCTGAACAGGAGCAAGCAGCCAGGGCTAGTGATGCCATGCCAGTCTGGAGGCATGAAGTCACCCTGAGAGTGCTTGCAGGCCTAGGGTTGCCATTGCCAACAAAGACAAATTGATGCAAAGGAGGATGGAAAAGTCTCCATATCTCTATTTTGCCTTAAATTGGTTTTGATGCCAGCAGAGTGAGAAAATGCCAGAGGCTCTGGGTGGGTGCTCCATGGTAAATGTACCAAACAATTCCTACAGATTTTCCAAAACACTACTCTGTCGATAAATCATTTTCTACAGAATACAACTCATCCCCAGCACTTTGAATTAGTATCAGACCTTTTTTTGCCTTGTGGTATTCTGTTTGTGGTGTGATCTGTCTTTTTTGTGATGTGGCAAGGTTGTGTTATCGGGTTTGTTTCTTTTGAAGGGGAAGTGTTGTGAGTGAGGACATATTTTACCTCAGAATACATGAGGTCGCATACGCAACTGACAGTTCCAACTGTCTTGCAGGGGAGGGAGTTTGAGGTGCGGAATGGAGTGAAGTCCAATCAGCTTCCATATGCAAATGACCTTGAATTCCTGGCCCAATCAGAGAAGAGTGGCCTAGGCTGCAGTGGGTGGGAGAGAACTCAGGCAACGCAGCTAGTGGATAGGGACAGCTTCTGAGTGACACATCAGAGAGCCAACTGATTTTGCCGGGCATAGAACTTTGCCACCCCAAGTGGCTTTTATATTTATAGAGAGATTTATATTGTTGTTTTATTTATTGCTATCTTATGTAAGCCGCCCTGAGCCTGCCTTGGCGGGGAGGGCGGGGTAAAAATCAAATAAAATCAAATAGATAAATAAATAACATTGTCCATTCCAAAGGGGTCACTGGAGCGACATGTAGCTCATTGGAGATAGATGTATCAGTAGAATTCAATATTCTGAGCCCATTGACTTCAGTGGGTTTTAGCTCTGTGCAGGATGGTACGATAAATGACTGAAATTTGCAGCAAAAATTTAAATGCTGGCCAATATTTTTATGATGTGTTTATTTACAAAAACAGAACATTTCACCTTTCTGCCCTGTTAGGACCACCAAGCCACATAACAATTAAAAGCAGAACAATATAAAACACATCATAAAACCAATTAAAACTATAAATAATTCCATAACATCACAACAGCTTAGTCAAAGGCTACTAGCCCTGGGAGTATCCCAAGAAATAGTTTACATAGAAGATTGTAGCCTATGAACTTTTACAACATGTCATGAAAACATAAGGTGTATATATTCCATGGGAAAGGAAGCTATGGAGTTTGACTTACCTTACTGAGGAAAGAGAACAGCCAAGGAAGGGCAATGATCCAATGAATGAAAAGTCCTAGGAAGAGAGGCTGTTTTTATATGATTCTAAGTCCTCCTCCTCTTCCGGGTGATACAGAACTTTTGGAATGATGGTTCAGTCCAAAACCATGGCCCCAAGACCGTATCTGTCCAGGATATTGATCTCTTGACACCTGATTCACAATGGAATGGTCGCTCAGTGAACCAAGACATATCTAATTAGCAGTCACACTTGATCTGTGATACATATGATAAGGCATGGCTCTCTTTGAAAGATCAAAGGACTCTATTGGACACCACTGGCAGAGGATCAGGTGTGGAACCGATGAATCAGGGACAAAGGCATGATAACATGCCATGGAGTCAGTCAGACCCATGCCAGGCTGTTCTTCAGAGCCTTTTATGATACCCAATCCATGAAGATGAGTAATCCCAGCTCATGTGGACAGATGGTAGAGGACATGAATTTGGAGAACAGAAATGTTTCAAACAGGCATGATCAAGTTTGGTATTCTCAGGGACCACTCGGGTCTCAAGACAGTTGACAGCAGGGTCAGAAATATGGGTGTTCAGGTATATAGAACCTGAAAAAATATTGGTATTTTCCAATATCCCTGAATCCCAATACCGATATGGTATTCAGATTCAGGAAATATTCAGGAAACTCGGATTTTTATTGTCTCTATTATACGCTATGGGGAATGGTCCTCATAAGGTATGATGGAGAATCAATATGGGGGTATCTGGGGCTTGGGGGGCTGTTTTTTGAAGTAGAGGTGGTGCCTTTATGGGCCCCCAAAGAAGGTGCCCCCATCCTCCATTGTTTTTGATGGGGAAGGCATTTAAAGGGACTGTGAGCCCTTTAAATTCCTTCAAAGTTCTCCAAGCTGTGAAGTCATGTGGCTTGGAGAAGGCATTTAAAGGGACTGCAGTCCCTTTAAACACTCTTTGTCTATCTGGCGGTCCTGAAAATCCCAAATATTATTCAGATTTTCAAGGCTTGGCCATTTTGGATACAAACAATATCCGAAATCTATATTCAGCTGAATCAATACCTGAAAAATATCAGTAAGGTTTGCGTGGGTGGGTATTTATTCGGCTCCGATTTAGCTGACTACACACCCCTATCAGAAATATGTTTTACCACTTATGTCATGGTAATAATGAACCTGTCATCGTTTGTAGTAAAGGCTTCCCAGTTACACTCCTCAGTAGTAAAGCTGTAAGCGTCATAAAAGATGTCCTCCAAAATCAAACTTGTCATGATCATAAAGCCTAATTTCAACTGTGCATTTCATGAATTTGAAACAATGGTTGGTTCACATTTCCCATATTAACTATGGTTGGGAAGGGCCGTGGCTCACTGGTAGAGCTTCTCTTTGGCATGCAAAAAGTCCCAAGTTCAATCCCTGGTACCTCCAGTTAAAAGACCTGGCAGCAGGTGATGTGAAAGACATCCGCCTGAGACCCTTAAGAGCCACTGCCACTCTGAGTAGCAAACCTGACGTTGATGCATGCAGGGTCTGATTCAGTATAAGACAGCTTCATGTGTTCATGTTCCAAACTTGACAAAGCCACTCAAAAGGTGGAGATGGGTGACCAGGCTTGGTAAAATGGAAGTTCACTGGACTGCAGCCTTAGCTAGTGGGTACGGAAACTTCTGAGAAAAACAACTCCAGGGCCAGTAAGAGCCATTTAAAGGAGCTGAGTGGGAGGAAGGAACCAGGGATCTGGAATCCGGAACACTGGGAGCCCGATTTGGAGGTGTTCTTGAGGTTAAAAACATTGGTAGAGTAGAGAACATTGGTTGCTGTGTGTGGAAAAAAAGGAGTTGGTTTGTAGCCAGTATAAGGCAGTTCCATGTGTTCATGGTTTGCATATATTTTTCAAGTGACAGTTGGTGGCATTCATTCTGACCTAAGCAGCTGACCAATTTCTGGTGGTGGTGCAATTGTAGACCTTCCAGGACTGTTAGGATTAATGGGTACTATAGCTTTCTCAACTGTCTGATTCAACTTAGCAGGCACTAAGATTGTACTGTTCTGACACCCGGTAGCCACGCTGAGCAGACTGAGTAGAAACAGCTCGGCAGAAAAGATCAGTCCCAGCTGGGGCCCAGCCTCTTTTGAAAGAGCCATCCCTTCATAACAAGTTACTCTCTCTGCACTTGAAAAGGTAGACTATGTAGAATGGGAAGGGGACCACATTTAGGCAGGGAACAGGTGTATATGCATGTATTAGCCAGCTTGGTGTAGTGGTTAAGTGGGGGACGCTAATCTGGGAGAACCGGGTTTGATTCCCCACGCCTCCACTTGCACCTGCTGGATGACCTTGGGCAAGCCCTAGTTCTGGCACAGCTGTTCTTGAAAAAGAGCCATTTCTATCAAGAGCTCTCTCAGCCCCACCGACCTCACAGGGTGTTTGTTGTGGGGAGGGGAAGGGAAAGGAGTTTGTAAGCCACTCTGAGACACCTTTGGGTAGTGAAGGGCGGGGTATAAATCCAATCTCCTCCTCCTCTTCTTCTTCTATTAATTTTGTGAGTTTCCCATTGAAATCTATCAAAGGGAACTATGGCCTTCAGTCTGAGAGACCTGAGCAAGGCTGTCCGTGATAGGACTTTTTGGAGGTCATTCATCCATAGTGCACCATAAGTTAGAAGCAACTTGGCAGTACTTAACACACACACACACACACACACACTGAGCAATGTTCCCTCTAAGCTGTGGAGTCCTGTGAGCCAAAATTCTACTTTGTGAGCTGCTGGCATTAAAGTTTTTTTCCCCCGTATATATATCTTTATTGGCTTTTTTAAAACTTAAAAAACATATACACATATAACAACGACCACCAACATACACCTATTATATAACTGTTGCCTTCCATGTCACATAAGACAGATTGTTTGGTTAATTACATGATTCCTAAATTCTCTTCCTTTTCATGTATACCAATTAGTATTACCTCTATTCTCATAATTACCAGCTTGTAGTTCCCATTGCATAGACGCTGGTCACCCTCAAAATTCATCTACTAGATTCCATCTAGGATACTTATTTCCAGTCATTAGCTTAAAAGGAAATTTGAAAATAACAATAAACGACTGAATAAATGGTTAACTGAGTAAACAGTCAAAAATAGACATGTTGTGCTAGAATATTCACATCACCCTCAAGTTCCACTTCTTCTTAGTATTGTTATTTCCCGTCAGAAGTACCAAACCGAAATTTGATTTACTTGACAGTTCAATAATACATTTAAGTCAATAAATTCTGTTTCCCCTTAATTTTAACTCAACGCAACGGAACCCAGTTTTCTAATTCCTAGATAAATTTTGCCATCAATCTGTATATACCATCTCTCTTAAATTACCCAAGTCTCTTATTAAAGAAAACTTGTATTTTTATCTACCAGAACAAGCTGCTGGCATTAAAGTTGTGAGCGAGCCATTTGGCAGCTGCATGAATTAATTTGCTTTGGAGCCATCCTTCCTGAGCCAAGACAAAAATGTGTGAGCCGGAGGCTAAGAAACTGAGCTAGCTCACTCTAACTCAGCTTAGAGGGAACACTGATACTGAGCATTCTCACCCATTAAAAAAATATAGAACTGTCCAACAGGAGTGTTCACACAGAAATATGAGGCCTTTTCTGTCAAGCACGGAGCTGTTCACTCATCACTAGTTCTGAGGCCCACCATTACCTGGACATATGTATGTAAAATCAATCTCTTTATTTCTGTAGCGTGTCCTGTCGTTCTTCTTGTCTCTCATCCATGGCCTTGGCTGATGCACAGAAACGATGTGTCGTGTCTCAGCTATCCTTATTTTTAGGAACTTGGATTGTTATTTTTATATTGTATTTTATATTTTTTTAGGAAATTGTATTCCTGCACAAATGTTTTCGGTGGGATGCATATCTGTGTTTTTAAACCCCTAGCTTGCTTTCGCAAAAGTGCGTGAATTATATTCCACCACCACCACCTCGACAGAATTAAAAACAAAACAAAACCATAATGGATCAAATAGCTAGTGGCTTCGGGATCACTACAGTACATTAGCCTACCTACACTAGTAAGATCACAATATACTTTTAAAAAACAGGTTCTTTCCATCCTTTTTCAGGGCTCTTTTTGTAGAAAAAGCCCAGCAGGAACTTATTAGCATATTGGGCCACACCCCTGTCAGCACAGCTCATTGGCATATTAGGCCACACCCCCATGTTACCAAATGTGTGCTCATCCAGCCACACCCACCTTTTGCTTCTTATTCTGTTTACCTTGTTTGTTGTCAAAACCCAGGGCCTTTTTTTGTAGCAGGAACTCCTTTGCACGTTAGGCCACACACCCCTAATGTAGCCAATCCCAATGAGTTTCTGCTGTTGGGTGTGGCCTATTATGCTAATGAGTTCCTGCTGGGCTATCCAACTTGGGAGTCAGCCGGAACTCCCTTCCTGTGCGTTCCTGCCCAAAAATAGCCCTGCTTTTCATAGACATAAGTGAGATAGAGTTGCTATGCCATGCCTGGCAACCACTGGGAGGTTGAGGGGGTGTGTGGAGACATGGGGGAGGTGCTGGCGTAATGTGTGCCATGATGTCTCCTCTGTGAAAACCAGAAGTTGCATCACATCAGTCTAGGAACTGCCTGGAACTCTATGGTGGAACCATAGATTTCCCAGGGATTCCAAGAGTGATATGATGTCATGTCATTTTTCCCAGAAGTGACTTCAAAATGCATATGATGCAGGTGCAGCAGCATGCAGTGAGGGTTACCAACTGGAGGTCCTCCACCACTGCAGAAGTCCTGACAAACAGAGCATGGGGGCCACATTGTGAACAAATCCAGGAGGAGGTGAATCCGAAGAAGCAGTGACCAGAAACACCAGCCTTGTGCATGTGGGTTAATGGGAGGAGAGTATCAAGCAGGCTTAAAAGGAACCTGTGCCCATCCCCACAACACCTTTCCCCCAAGCATCTCTGAAGCCTTGCCCGACAAAATAATTGCACGTCTACAGGGCTCAGTAGAAATCAATTTCTTTTTCAAACTAATTGTGTTGGTGTCTGTGGGATTTCTTGGTTTCTTGCTCACTGTGTGCTGATATTTCACAAAGGCTGAGATTCCTGGGTGTGACTGGACTTCTTGCATAGACATTGAAATGGATCCCAAATGGCAAGGACCACGTAGGTCAAACCAGGGCTTGTGGAGGAGCTATTTTTGGTGAGTACCTTGGGGCAGAAGGAGAAGATGGTCTCAGAACAGATTCTTAGGGAAACTGGGTCCATCAAGAGCTGTGAAGGACAATGTCTTGGGAACTCTGTCTCATCTCCCACCCTCATAAGGTTTGGGAAGCAGTGATCCAGGAAGACCTCATTCAGCACAGTCTCTGAGGCCATGAGGAGCCTGGAGCAGTTTTAATAAGTTGTTCTGGACTCAGAGTACAATGAACTTTTCATATATGCAACAAACCTAAGATGCCGTCCCCTCGGCCTTATCTGAGCTACATCATACCCAAGCCAAGTATAATGGAGTTCTTTAAGACAAAAGGGTTTCCCCCCCACACCCTCATTCATACTGCTAATCAAGTTGTAGCCTAGTATTTTGCACAACAATATTGTGTTTGGCCAGGGGTCATTTCGTAGAAAAAGAGGTGCAGGAACTGATTAGCATAACTCATTCACGTAACTTATTTGCATATGCCACACCCCCTGACATCACCAGAAGTGTGTCAGAAGGCAACACTCACTGCTCAGGCTCCATAGGACTGTTTTGGATTGCTAGCTATGGGGGGGGGAGGTGCAGATCTGTCCTCACAGAGGAGGGAGAGCTTGTACCTGAATAAAACTTGGTCTTAAAGGTACCACTGGACTGTTTTGGACCGGGGGGGCAGGTGGGGGCTCTGCAACTTACCTGGCTGCTTCTTGTTCTGACTGAGGGCTGCTGGGAGCAGGGTGGGGGGCTTGTTGCCTGTGTCCGCCCCTTGGGCTCTTTACTGCCGGAGCTCCGCTCCTGTGCCCTCCTGCAGGAAATGACCCCTGTGTTTGCCCTCCCTCTCTACTGAACACGCGAGCATGTGAACCTGTAAGGACATCACCCTACCACTTTCCTATATACATGCTACATACAAAATACAAATTCCTTATCTACAACTTGATAACCAAGATGATGCAGGACAAACATAAGAAGACTATTTATTATCATTATTATTTGCTGAAAAACATGATGTTATTGTTCCAATGGTGAAAGCATGCAATTAATATTTCAATTCACATTGATCCAAAGCAACTGGGATGGTCCAGAATCTATAACAACAAGTTATCAGTTAGCCAGGAAGAAAAATTTTTTAGTTTCTGGTCCCCTTCCCCCCCCCCCCCGGAATCCTGTGTAGGTCAATGAAGAACACCTGCGTTGGGAAGGAAATGGCCTTATGGTTGTCATGATGACGTCTGATGAAAAGGAAGGCGGATCTACTGTGAAGGAACACATAACTCTTGGAGAAAAATCAGTTTTTCACATTGTTTCCTTCCTGTTGTGGCTGTTGTTGTGGCTGCAATTTACATAGCTTTTTCATGGGTCAAATGTGGACTTTTTGAATATGTCGGAGGCAAGAATTTTGCCACAGGTGATCAACATTTCTGTAGTACTCTTGACTTAACATATTGTTTGGATGATCTTCCTCCAATATCTGGCACAAAATAGACTGACTGTCCACTGTGACTGCATGGCGTGGCACTAACTCTTTCTGGCCTGCTCCTGAAGGCCTACCAAAAGATTTATCTCTGCTGGTACATCCTTCCAAAGCAACACATGAGTCAGACGATACCCTTCGTCCTCCACTTCCACATCCTGCTGGCTTAGAACATACCATTCTTCTTCCACTGCTGTATCCTCCTGGCTCACAGCATATCCCTCTTCCTCCACTACCGCTTCCTCCATGTTTAGAACGTACTCCTCTTCATCCACTGCCACCACTGTCACATCCTCCTGGCTCAGAACATACTCCTCTTCCTTCTTATGAATTTTGAAAGCTAATGTGAAGGCCATGATTGCGAGAAAGGTGCAGTAGAAAAAAATGTGAAGCAATAAACACTCAGCTTTGAGCACTGTGGCTTTTAGCAACAGAATCATCAGGGAATCTTCACCCAAAGAGTAATTAATATGTGGCATTCACTGCTGCCGGAAGTGATGGCAGCTACAAGCACAGAAAGCTTCTAGATGGTAAACACACGGAGCAAAGGTCCATCAGTGGCTCTTAGCCACAAGGTATAGATGGGGCAGTGATGTTCTGTCTTCTTGGTGCTTGGGGGGCCACAGAGGGAGGGCTTCTCAACTTCTGGCCCCGCTGGTGAACCTCTGGATGGGACCTGGGTTCTGGCCACTGTGTGACACAGAGTGTTGGACTGGATGGCCCTTTGGCCTGATCCAACATGGCTTCTCTTATGTTCTTCTGTTCTTCTACATGATTGAGACACAACCATCCAAACTTTATGGATCAATGCAAAGTAAATTTTCTTAACATCATTTGCAGGCTGATCGTCGAGATTTTTGGAACCTTCTTAAAAGTCTGCCACATGGCTCAGAACATAATCCTCTTCTTCTACCGCTGCATCCTCCTGCCTCGGAACATACTCCTCCTCCACCACCGCCACATCCTCCAGGTGCAGAACATACCCCTCTTCCTCCACTGCCATATCCTCCTGCCTTAGAACATATTCCTTTTCCACCACTGCTGCATCCTACTGATTTAGAGCATGGCTGAGAGCAACCCCCTGTTCCTTCACTGCCACACCCTCCTGAAGATCCACAACATGGCTTTCCAGAGACTGACTCTTCATTAGAATAATGTCCACCTGTATTACCATTGCACGCATCCCCAATTGGTCGCCCCCAATAGTCTCGGGGTCCTCCCGAGGGGTTGTGGACGCAGCATCTCACTCTTGGGTTACCCCCTGATCTACAGGTGGATTGACGGTAGCCGTAGCATCGGTAATCATGGCCTCCTCTTCTCGGGATGTCATCCCTGCGGTTGCAACCAGTTATACAGCAGGTATTGTCCGCGTAGCGGAATGGTTTGCGGCGGGTATCCAGCCATGACCCTGCAGGATCGTACCATGTGGAGTTCAAATTAAAATATGGTTCCCTCCCGGAAGAGTAGATTCTTTCTTCTGGCATTCTTGATAGATCTGAAAGACAGAAACACAAATACACATTTTAGCGTATATCTTACAATTCAAGTAAAGTAATTGTTGTTTGTCCTTCAGTGTTGTTGGTCCTTAACTTAGGAGGCAAGGGTGCAATAGCTGTCACCATGTAACCTGGTCTGCCGATCTCCAGGTGGGTCAAACAACAAATATATACACTGCAAAAACCTTATTTATAAGTTAAAGTGTTCTATATGTTCCATTTTATAAAGTGCATTGTCTATTATTCATAATATTCTAAAACAGGTATATATATTCATTACATGCAATATCAACAATAATACTCAGTTTGTACAATCTAATAGCTACCAGTCAATTTACATCCTTTTTACACAATCAACCCTTGAGAAAGACAGGAGTGCTCCATCTATGATTGTCAGCTGCTTAATGGGCCTTTTGTAGGACCAGCAACAAACATCAGTTTAAACTTCAATGTAACCACAAAAGGAAACTTCACCCTTTAGAAGACTTTCAAGCAAGGAGAAGCGGGTGTACGTTGGGGTTGATTGTGTAAAAAGGATGTAAATTGACTGGTAGCTATTAGATTGTACAAACTGATTATTATTGTTGATATTGCATGTAATGAATATATATGTTTTAGAATATTATGAATAATACACAATGCACTTTATAAGATGGAACATATAGAACACTTTAACTTAAAATAAAGTTTTTGCAGTGTATATATTTGTTGTTTGACTCTTCTAACACTGCAGATCGAGTTTCCACATCTCCAGGTGGGGCCTGGTGGACTCCATGAATTAAACTCCACCATTTTAGCATCTTAACTGGTCCTCATAGAGAATCTATCTATATGCTTGGCAACTTTATCTTTAATAATAAATGGTAAAGGTAAAGGTTTCCCTTGCTCGAAAGCCAATTGAATCTGACTCTAGGGGGCAGTGCTCATCTCCATTTCCAAGCCGAAGAGCCAGCGCTGTCCGAAGACATCGCTGTGGTCATGTGGCCAGTATGACTAGATGCCAAGGTGTACAGAACACTGTGACCTCCCCACCGAAGCGGTACCTATTTATCTACCTGCAATTCCTTTCTTTCGAATTGCTAGGTTGGTAGGAGCTGGGGCTAGAGACGGGAGCTCACTCCTTCACGCGGCACTCAGGTCTCGAACTGCCGAGCTACCGGCCTTCCAATCTGCAGTTCAGCGTCTTAACCTCTGAGCCACCGCAGCCCCTTTGATAATACTTTAATATCATTTACTTTAATAATACTTTAATGTTATTTACTTTAATAATACTTTAACCTTTAATAATACTTTCCATCAATTTACCTGGAACAGACATTAAGCTAACCGGCCTGTAGTTTCCCGGATCACCCCTATATCCTTTTTTTTTTAAGGGAGTTACATTTTCATTCTCCAGTCTGCCGGGACAGAGGCTGGTTTCCATAGAGTATTGTAGTCCATAAATACACCTGGGTGTAAACGAAGAGATGCAAATTGCTTATTATAGCCATCTAGAGAAATTGACTTACCTTACTGAATGCCAAAGCCAGCTGAGGGAAGGCAGTGATCCAGTGAATGAGGGATCCTCAGAAAACAGACCCTTTTATATGGTTGCAAATCCTCATCTTGATGATACAGAGTCTTGAGAATGGTGGGTCAGTCCAAAGAAGACCATGTCGACACAGTGCACCAAACTCTCCATACCAGATTCCTGACCCTTTTATGTCATGCTCATTCAATATATCACGGCACGTCTACTTCTGAGTCACACCGTGATGTGGTTGATAAAGAATGGCTCTTCTTTGGATCTGATGGGGTTTCTGAAAGCGGCCAATGGTATAAAGTGACTTCAGGGAATGCCAGTGAATCAAGGCCCCGGGTATGCAAACGTGGTTGTCTTGCAAGATCAGCACCCGTCAGCCTCATGAAAGTCACTAGCCCGAAAGAATTTGCCTTGCAACAGGGACGTGCATTTGGGTATTCATGACTCCAAAATATTATCTTTAGCGTAACAAATTGGATTTAAAAAAAACACCCCTGGTTTTTTTTGTTGAATTTTAAGCTCCCGGGGAAAGAGAGAAAGAGTTCAAGATGGAAGTGGAGAAATTGATTGAGCAGATATCTGACTGACAGGAATATGTTCCAGTAGGCAGAGTTGCACAGTCCTTGCTCCTGACTAGCATTGTGCTGCCCCCCTCCAAACCCCCCCACAACAACTACAACACTGGAGGAGGGACAGAGGCAAAGGGAGCGGTGGCACAGACGGTTAAATGCCTGCTTGTAACATCCATGAACCGCTGCTACAGCTGTTCGAAACCCGCCATGGCCAGAGTGAGCACCTGGCCCTTGCCCCAGCTCCCGCTAACCCAGCGGTTCGAAAGCACCAACTAACATCAAAAAATGTGCAAGTAGATAAATGGGAACCTACCTTAGAGGGTAGGGGGCACCCTCCCCCGCTGTGGGGGCTGTTGGAGCATCGGAGCCCAGTGGACGGCGAAGCGGCAAGCAGCGAGCGGCGAAAAGATGGCATCCGGGCACAACATCGGAGGCGGAACAGACGTCGGCGGAGAGGCGGAGCATGGACGGCGCAGGCGCGGCGGAGCCGCGAGGACTAAGCCAAGGCCGCGCCGGAGCATGCCGCGTGACAGAAGGGTCTGACCGATCCGCCACTGAAAGACCACCGGAAAGGAAAAAAGGAGCCAGAAGCCGAGTGACACCGAAGTCGACGTAGCCGACCCGGGAGAAAAAGATCGACTAACCCCTCCACTGGGTGCCGGTAGGGATTGTCCCCACCCCTAATAATTGTGGGCATAGGTTAGGGGTAAATGAGTAACTGTAGCCGCTCAGAGACCCCTTAGGGGGGTTCGAGCAGGGTAGTAAGTTGAAATAAATAAATAATAAAATAAAGGGTGCATGGCACCCCCGAAAACAGGAAGCACAGCTACTGGGCCAGACTGACATCGGCAAACACTTTGCATGCCCCAGTATGGCCACCACCATAGGCAGGACTTGCAGTAGGGTTGCCAGGTCCCCTGGGGGGCGGGGAAAACCCCGCTCGATGGGTCCGTTCCCCGCCGGCCCAAATCGGGCAGCCGGGGGGAATCCCACCCCCAAAGTGCCGGGATTTCAGAGACGTGACCGGCATGATGATGTCACATGGAGGTGACATCATCGCGTCAGGCACATTGCGGGGGGACGCTCCATCATTCGAGGGGAAACTCTATGGTTTTCCCTCGAATGATAGTGGTCCCACCCCCAACGTGCCCAGTGCAATGACAGCACTTCCAGGTGACGTCATTGTGGCATGCTCACCTTGCGTGTGCACCAAAGAACTCCCAGAGAGGGCCGGGACTCCCCCCGCTGCAGCCAAGGTAGGACTTGGAAACCCTAACTTGCAGTGTTTTCTGTTTTCCCATCGCATAGACATAGAGAGCTATCAAAACTCTGTCTTTCCTAGAACTGTTCGAGAAGCTCCAAGCATAAATCAGTTCAGCATGGTGTAATAGGGCATTGGATTGTGAGACCCAGGTTCGAATGCTTCCTCGTCATGCGGCATCATGCATTGATAACAAAGCATGGCTAACAGCAAAATATAAGGTCGACAGTCCCACCTCTCTGCCAGCGGGGGATTTGCTGCTGATGTCATATGGTGATGCTCTATTTTTTGGGCAAAACTCCGTGTTTTGAGCCCAAATTTGCAGTAGAGTCTTGCCCAAACACTAGGGTGTTTCCATGCGACATCGGTGGCACTATGAATCAATGCTCCCTCTAAGCTGTGGAGTCTTGCGAACAAAAATTCTATTTTGTGAGCGACTGGCATTCAAGTTGTGAGTGAGCGATTGGGCTACTGCATAAATTCATTTGCTCTGGAGCCCTCCTTCCTGAGCCGAGACAAAAAATGTATGAGCCGGAGGCTAAGAAACTGTAGCTAGCTCACATTGACTCAGCTTAGAGGGAACACTGGGTGACATCACTGTGCCATTTTTCAGGGAATTTGTGGGTGGAGAGGAGCCCACAAAAGCAGGGGATCCCCTGCTCGGACCGGGGGGGAGGGGCTGGCAACCCTAGCACTTTAATGCAGATCAATTATTATACATTATGGATTCATCAGTCTTTCATAGATTCAACTAACCCTAAAGTAATGCTAACCTCATTTATACATATACATTTATACCACTCCTTTCCTTCCTCGTTTTACGCTGTCAACAACCCTGTCCAGATGAGAGAGAGAGAGAGAGAGAGAGAGAGAGAGAGAGAGAGAGACTAGCCCAAGGTATGGTTGCCACCTCCAGGAGGCAACAGCAGAGCAATAGCCAATAGGGACTGTGTTATGGGTATGTGTCCCACCCTTTCAACAGAGAACACAGATGCAAGAAAGTAATTGAGCGTCTCTGCCATCTCCCCATCTTCCTTTAGCAACCCCTTTATTACTTTGTCATCGAAAGCCCCCCCCACACACACACACTTCCCTGACTGGTTTCCTTCTACAGATATATATTTTTAAAGTTTGTTCCTTATCTTGGTGGTGTTAACAACCCACAAGCCAAAATCTCTTTTTCCATGCCTAATTATTGACTTATTTTCCAGGGGAAGGCCTAGGCTTCTCTGCCCTGTTGTTGGTACTCCCGAGGAACTGGTTGATGCCACTATGTGAGACAGGCCTCTATGCCCTGTTGTTGGTCCTCCAGAGGAACTGGTTGATGCCATTGTGTGAGACAGGATGCTAGACTAGATGGGTCCCTAATCTGATCCAGCAGGGCTCTTCTTATGTTCTTCTCAGGGGGAGGTCTCGGCCTTCTGCCCTGTTGTTGGTCCTCCAGAGGAACTGATTGAGGCCACTGTGTGAGGCAGGATGCTGGACCACTGGTCAGATCCAGCAGGGCTCTTCTTATGTTCTTATCATGGGAAAGTCTCAGCCTCTCTGCCCTTTGTTGGTCCTCCAGAGGAACTGGTTGAGGAACTGGACTAGATGGACCACTGGTCAGATCCAGCAGAGCTCTTCTTACATTCTTATGTTTAGATTAGGAAATTCCTGGAGATTTAGGGGGGAGGGACTGTGGGGATGGTGGGGTTTGGGGGAGAGAGAGGCCTCAGTGGGGTATAATGCCATAGACTGTACATTCCCAGGCAACCCTTTTTCTCCAGGGGAACTGGCCTCTGTCACCTGTAGATCAGTTGCAATTCCTGAAGTTCTCCAGGTCCCACCGGGAGGTTGCCCATCCTAGCCCCAGTCACCCAGTGACATGCAAGGGCAGAGCGTGGATTCGAACTCGGCTCCAATGTCCAAACCATTATACCGCACAGATCACTCCTCTTCCTTTTCACTCCCTTGGACATACATGTGTCAAAGAGGGAAACAGAGAGTCAATTTTGCCTCCCCCCTCCTCACCGCAGCCCCCTAATTGCCATGCCTTTTTTTGTCCTGCAGCTCCAAGAATTAACCTTCGGTTGGCCAGAAATGGCTATTGGGGGAAGGAAAGGGGGGGTAATAGCGAACCTCCTGCTGATGGTCGGTTGGATCCAAGCCCAGTTTATTTGGAACCTCACTGCTCTAGGAGGAATTTGGACGAGGAACAATCCCAAAGCGTCCTGTGCGTCTCGACTATTCTTTGAGCAAACTTTCTCAGAGTCATTAGACACCAATTATAACTGCATTGGTGTAGGAGGCTGGGTGTGAATGTGATTTGTCTCTGTCTTTGGCTTTTGTTCTGCTGGAGCCGGCGGACCTGTCTCTTGGGCTACAGCATTTCAGGCTGGAGATGGGCGTGCCCGGTACACGAATGGTCTTCTGTACTCAGACTCATTGCCACAGAGAGTGCTATAATGGCAAACAGGATAGTGTCTTAGTCTAATCTTGGCTGCTGCCTGGCATGCTTGTTTTCTGTGTGGGGGAAAACTTTTTATTGCCTGGGGGACCGTTCCAACAGTTTGGTGTAGTGGTTAAGTGTGCGGACTTTAATCTGGGAGAACCGGGTTTGATTCCCCACTCCTCCACTTGCACCTGGCTGGATGACCTTGGGGAAGCCGTAGTTCTGATAAGAGCTGTCCTTGAAAAAGAGCAGTCTCTGTCAGAGCTCTCTCAGCCCCACTACCTCACAGGGTGTCTGTTGTGGGGAGGGGAAGGGAAAAGGAGTTTGTAAGCTGCTCTGAGACTCCCTTGCATAGTGAAGGGCGGGGTATAAATCCAATCTCCTCCTCCTCCATCATACCAGCTCACCCATCACCAGAGACAAACCAAACACAAACCTCTTCCTTCCCCCCTCCCCCCAATGATGATTTTGTGTTTTCTCTCCCTCTGCCCAGAAAGAGGCCAGGCCCGTAGCTACAGTGGGGTGTCTCGGGGCCCGGCCCCCGATTTACCACCAAGCCCCTCCCCCAACTTCCCATCCAGGCCAGGAGCTCCCTTGGGATGTGTGCAGCAGGGGTGTGTGTGGGGTGCCCCCTGGCTTATTTAAAGGCCCCCCACATTAAAAAAAATATGCTGGCTACGGGCCTGGGCCAGGCAGTCCAGAACTGGGATGAAATTTTTAAGGACGCCATCGGAGGACTTCTTTTTAACCTGGTTTTCTTTAATCTGTCATTCTAATTTTGTCATGTTTTGGTTTCTAATGCTTTGTATCTTCGTTTTATGGCTTTGTGCCTCTACCGTACAATGACCAGAGCCTGGCACAACCTGGGATGGGGCGATTAATAAATCTAGTCGTGTTTCATGTATCCCTACCCAATATTTCTTGGCTCTATCACATAGCCACCACATATGGTAAAACGATCCTGTTTTATTCTCACATTTCCAACATTTATCAGAG